CGAAACGTCAGCTTTCCTGCTCCTCTGATGCTGCTTGGCCTGCTGTGTTCATCCAGCTCTACACCTTGTTATCTCTAATTAACCAGGGATATGTCATTATTCGTGATACAACTGTGTTAACTACAAGTTGTTTTTAACACCATAGTCTGATACTTTCTAATTAATTTCTGAGTTTTATTTAACAATACCTCCACTTTCATACAGTTTACAAAATGATTTTCAAATCGTTCTCATAGAGTCATAGAGCTGTACAGCATAAAGAGAGGCCCTTTGATCCAACCTGTCCATGCTGACCAGATATCCCAAGTTAAAAACCAAAATAACTGCGGATGCTTTAAATCAGGAACAAAAACAAAGTTGCTGGAAAAGCTCAGCAGGTCTGGCAGCATCTGTGGAGGAGAAAACAGAGTTAACGTTTCGGGTCCGGTGACCCTTCCTCCCAAGCTAATCTAGTTCCATTTGTCAGCATTTGGCCCATATCCCCCTAAACCTTTTCTATTCATATATCCATCCAGATGCCTTTTACATGTTGTAATTATATGAGCTTCCACCATTTCCTCTGGCAGCTTGTCCCACACATGCATCACCCTGTGTGAAAAAGTTTCTCCTTAGGTCCTCTTTGAATCTTTCGCCTCTCACCTTAAACCTATGCCCTCTAGTTTTGGGCTCCCGCACCTGAGGAAAAAGACCTTGGCCACTTACCCCATCCATGCCCCTCATGATTTTATAAATCTCTTGTAAAGTCACCCCTCAGCATCCGATACTCCAGGGAAAACAGGGATTATTTAAGTGTCAGTTGACCCCAAACAAGTAGCAGGTAAGCAGAGGTCGTGTTCTTTGAAAGATCATTGAACTCAGACTTTAACTCCATTTCACTAGATGCTACCTGACATGCTGAGGATTTTCAACATTTTCTGTTTTTATTACAGATTTCCAACTTTTGCAATATTTTTATATTTTCAAATTATCTTGGCTGAAAATTATGTGTGAGCAATAAACAACGTAAAGAAAAAAACTTGCATTTATATAGCATCATTCATATCCTGAGTACATCCAAAAGTGCTTTACAGCCAATGACATAATTTTGAAATGTAGCCACCACTAAAATGTAAGAAAGGCAGCAAGCTCCCATAAACAGCAAAGTGGCAATGACCTCTTGATCTATTTTTTGTGATGTTGATTGACCACATCTCTAAGGTCATCACCCCCCAGGGAAGGTCTGCTCTGGGATGGTGATTCATCCTGAACAAACCTGTGCTGTACTGGGCAAGATGATCTGAGAGATGTGTGCTCCTCAGGGATGCAATCAACTAAATGCAGGACAGGGGGCTACACACCTAACTCTTAGCCTGGACCTGGAGAAGGCCTGTGACAGGATATTGCACACGTACTTGTGGGACATGCTCTTCTAAATGGGTTTTGGGGAGGAAATCCGAAATTGGATCCGACTGCTCTACACCAACATCGTTCATGCAGTCTCAATCAATGGATGGGAATCACAAAGCTTCCTGATCAGATCTGGAGTCAGGCAGGGCGACCCGCTTTTTCCTGCCTTGTTTGTGTGTTTTATGGAGCCTTTTGCTGAGTCCGTCAGGAAGGATGCAAGTCTGAGAGGGGTGACTATTCCAGACAGCAGAGGCTTACAGGTCAAGACCTCCCTGTACATGGATGACTTTGCTGTGTTTTTGCTCAGATCTGCTGTCAGTGCACTGACTCATGAATATCTGTGGCCAGTTCAAACTGGCCTCGGGCATCAAGGTAAATCGATGGGGACCTGGACCCACAATTCTTTCATTCCCTTCAAAACCAGGTGAAGGTGCTGGGAATATCATTTGAAGGTGCCAGGATGTGTGCAAAATCTTGGGAGGAGAGTATCACAAAGGTGAGGCAGAAACTGGTCTTTTGGGAGTGTCTCTCCCTCTCCATTACAGGTAGAAAGCTTGTCATTAGGTGTGAGGCACTTTATCTGTTGTTGCACATAGTGCAGATCTGGCCCATTCCCAGGACCTGCACCACTGCAATCACCCAAACTATCTTCCACTTCATCTGGAGGTCCATAATGGACTGTTTCCACAAGGATGCCATGTATGTACAAAGTTGTGGATTGGATGGGAAGAATGTGCCGAATGCCACTCTCATCCTGATGGCCACCTTTGAGTGTGGCTGCATTAAGCTGAGCGTAGACCATCTGTACACAAACACCAAGTGTCAGTACATAATGAGGTTCTATCTGTCCCCAGTGTTGCAAAGGATGGGTCTGGCCTCATTGCCAAGTAGACCACTCCAAGTAGTTGGACCATTCCATATCACCTGTTCTTCATAGTGAAATTTGTTAAAAAAAAAACACCTTTGACCACAAGTCCATCAGGAAATGGTCAGCACACAACATCCTTGAGATCCTGAGGGAAAAAGGAGGGGGTGGATCCTGTCAGGTTGTTCCCTGCGCAGACTGTCAAAGTCATTTGGCAGAACGCCTCATCACCAGAACTTTCCAACAAACAGCGAGACGTCGCTTGGCTGGTGGTGAGAAGAGCGCTACCTGTGAGATCCTTTACGTACGCTCAGACTCCCTGTGCCATAGCACGCTGCCCTTGGAGCGACTATGGGGGGACAAGAGACTGTCACACATCTCCTGTTGGAATGTGACTGTGCAAAGGTCATCTGGAGAGAGATGCAATGGTTTTTGTCGAAGTTTGTCCCAAGCAGCTCCGTAACGCAGGGCTCTATGGTCTATGGTCATTCTCCAGGACGCACACCAAGACAAACATCGACTGTGCCTGGAGGACCATCAACTTGGTGAAGGACGCTCTTTGATCTTACTGGAAACTTATTGATCTTTCAGAGCAAGGATTTGACCTCGACTAAGTGTTGCAGACTGGCACCTTCCAAGATCCAGGACTACGTGCTGAAGGACACACTAAAGCTAGGGGCAGCTACCGCCAAGACACAGTGGGAAAAGACCCCTGTCTGAGGGCTTCCTGCCGAAGTTAAATGGGAGTCTGTTCAGTTAGCAGACCCTCCCAGTGCCTCAAATATATCTAAATAAAAAATTTATACAAGTAAGAGATGCCTTCGGTTTATTGTAGGATAGAGTCAAACTCCAAGATTTGTTTGTTTTCTTCATATGCTACTGTACAGAATCGAACTATTTTAGTAAATATGTGTGTGTATGTATATTTTATGAATAAAGTATATTTTTGAAATTAAAAAAGGGGCAAGGTTAAGAAGGTATGACTTCAGCAGATGCAGGAATTGAACCCATGCA